TTAATGGCTGATAATACTCCATTGTGTAAATGTAACACATTTTCTTCATCTATTCTTTTGTTGTGGGACATCTAGGTTGTTTCAAATTTCTGGCTATTATGAATAGAGCAGCAATGAACATGGTTGAGCAAGTGTCCCTATGATAGGATGAAGCATACTTTGGGTATATGCCCAAGAGTGGCATAGTTAGATCTTGCCATAGATGGATTCCTATCCTGCCACACTGATTTCCCACAGAGGCTGTCTAAGTTCGCATTACCACTATCAACAGATGGGTGTTTCCCCTTACTCCACATCCTTGTCAACATAAGCTTTCATTTGTTTTCTTGATCTTAGCCATTCAGACAGGTGCAAGATGAAATCTCAAAGTAGCTTTGATTTGCATTTTCCTGATGGCTAAGGATCTTGAGTATTTCTTTAAGTGTTTCTCAACTATTTGAGTTTCTTCTTTTGAGCATTCTCTGTTTAGATCTATATTCCAGTTTAAAATTGGGTTATTTGTTTTATTGATATCAAGTTTTTTGAGTTCTTTATATACTTTGGATATTAGATTTCTATTGAATGTGTAGTTGGTAAAAATATTTTTCCATTCTTTAGGCAGCTGCTGTGTCTAAATGATAATGTCCTTTGCTGTGCAGAAGCTTTTCCGTTTCAGGAGGTCCAACTGTAATTTTTAACAGCAGCAATGGGGAAGGAATGTGTTCTTATGATTAAAAATGTTTAGTTTTGTGCTATATTTAAAATAGTAAGAGCTGCCACATGATTAAGATCTAAAAACCTGTGTTTGTGGACTTCCTACTCATTCAGTGACTGGTGCCGTTAGCCTTCCTTAGCCCAAACTGATTACGTCATCATTGAGAATCATCTCGGAAAGGAAGTTCTGAGATGACTGAAGAATTCCTCACTGGGCAGCATTTGCCATTCAAGGACACGAGAGTGCTTTCCTGTCCACCCCCCTCCCTCCAGCAGAGCAATGCAAGTTTTTGAGACCAATGACCCTAATTTTGAGAACAATTCAAAGCATTTTAGAGTGATGGCAAATGTCTAGGCGTGTTAGAAGGAGGTTTGCAAGAGGAGACAGAGGGAGGCATCCTGTGGCCAGGTCAAGTTTTAGTCAAGAAATGTACCTTTAAAGTCTTAGCCAAAACAATAATTCAGTGGACTTCTCTCGAGGGAGTTTTGAAAGTATGTAACGCTAACCACAGTAGAAGTAACTTTCAGTGCTGTGTTTGGTTTTACATATTTGCACAAGCACATTGTTTGATTAAACAGGCTCAACATAAATATATGTAAGAACGAACTTTATCCACTTTCAAACATCATAAAAATTTGGAGCTTCAACTATGCATTTTGACTAGGCCAGAAATATTTCTTCATACCACTCAGGTTCAGGATTCAATCCAATGCCTTTTGAAAGTCAAACTATCAAAACTTCCTGCCCTCCAACTATTCCCTCTGCCCAAGAAAGAGGAAGAACGATCTAAGCTTTCATAGAACAGAAGACCAGTGGTGATGGGTCCCTTCTCTGACTCTCCATCCATTACTAAGACTGTAATGGCTTCTGAGAAGAGATGAGATTGTGACTCCACAAGGGCTCACATGTACACAGCCCTGTTCCCTCATTACCATGGCAACCAGCAACCCTCTCAGAAATCTCCACTTAGGCAAATCCCAGCTACCTTCCCAGATAAGCCTTCATCATGCCTTGTCAAACCAAGGAACACAGCCAGCCTGGGGTCCTTTCTCTCCCACATCAGTATCACCGAATGCTCTGTCAGCAACATCCGCCCCCCCCCCACCAGGCTTTCCCACAGCTCTTTCTGGAAGTCAAGGAGACAGAGTCCAAGAGGAGAGAGTAGAACAAAGGGAAGCTCCTTTGAGCCCTGACTCCCATACTCTCCATTGAGGGAATAGAAGGGAGGGCAAGGCAAAAGGCCTTGAGAATGCTTCATAAATTTTTTATTTAAAAAAAATCACATCTTTGTCCCTTATTATGATTTATTCTGTAAAGGAATAATCCAAAGGTTTAGGGTTTAGGAAACTAGCTCTGCCATGTGCTTCCTGTTAGTAATTTCACAGTGTACAACCAGCTTCAAGTAGACTTTCTCTGAATTGAGAAGGTGAGGCAAATGGCAAGTTTTATCCTCATATACATAATTTGGGTGGCAGCCGTGGTGGTTTAAATGAGAAATGTCTTCTATAGGCTCTGATATTTGAGCACTCAGTGCCTAGATGATGGCACTGTTTGGGCAAATCTGGGTGGTGCAGCCTTGCTGGAGGAAATGCTTCACTGAGCACGGGCTCTGACATTATATAGCCTGGCTCTACTTCCAGATCTCTCTTTGCTTCCTCATGGTGGGATGTGATTTCTCACCTTTCTACTAATGCCACCATGCCGCCTGCCACTTGCTGCCATGCCCCCCCTCCGCCCCCCATCATGACTGACTCTTACCCCTCTGGAACTCCTAAAAGTTGTCCTGGTCATGGTATTTAATCAATGCAACAGACATTAACTAATGCAGCAACTATAGAGAAGCATGTCTTTATAATTTTCTTAAATAAATATTATCATTGACAATCATTCATACTGCCCACTGTCACTCTTGACAGCATTGGGTACTCTCATTCATATTGCCCACTGTCACTCTTGACAGCAATGGGAACTCTCATTCATATGGCCCACTGTCACTATGGACAGCATTGGGAACTCTCATTCATGTGGCCCACCATCACTCTTGACAGCATTGGGTACTCTCATTCATATGGCCCACTGTCACTACTGACAGCATTGGGAATTCTCATTCATGTGGCCCACTGTCACTACTGACAGCATTGGGAACTCTCATTCCTATGATCCACTGTCACTATGGGCAGCATTGGGAACTCTCATTCATGTGGCCCACCCTCACTCTTGACAGCATTGGGAACTCTGATTCATATGGCCCACCATCACTATTGACAGCATTGGGAACTCTCATTTATATGGACCACCGTCACTATGGACAGCATTGGGTACTCTCATTCATATGGCCCACCATCACTATTGACAGCATTGGGAACTCTCATTCATGTGGCCCACTGTCACTATTGACAGCATTGGGAACTCTCATTCATATGGCCCACCATCACTATTGACGCATATTTCTTTTTTCCAATCTATGCTATCACTTTACCTTGTATAAAGTTTCCTTGCTGCTTTGGAAACAAACAAACAAACAGGAAAACAACACAAAGAATAGAAGAAAGGAAATGAAAGTGCACTTTCGTTTTAATCCCATACAAGACAAACTTCACAACAAAGGATTTTTGTCTTCATTCAAGATGGAAAATTCATCCCTTAAAGAAGATAATGATCATAAATGTGCCAACACATTTCAAAATGTGAAAATGAAGAACGGAAGTCTCCATGGTCCAAGAAACATTACAGACATTAAACACACAATAAAAATATTATGAACAGGGGGCTGGAGAGATGACTCAGAGGTTAAGAGCACTTGTTGCTCTTCCAGAGGTCCTGAATTCAATTCCCAGTAACTGCATGGTGGCTCATGACCATCTGTAATGAGATCTGGTGCCCTCTTGTAGCGTGCAGGCATATATGCAGGCAGAATACTGTATACAGAATAAATAAATGAATCTTTAAAAAAAAAGAATATTATGAACAACTTTATGTCAGTAATTTCAATTTTGACTCTAGCCTCATACAAACACAGTGAACAAAGCAAGAGTGATAATGCCTCCCCTCATTCTGTAATGCTGCAAATTAGGCTCTATCCCTGAGCCTATCAGTCTAGGAACCCCATTTGATATAGTCTTAACATTTTAAAACCTCTTTGGTACCTAGAAGTCAGTAAGGCCAGCAGAGCTCTCAGAGTGAAGTGCATTGAGTTTGTGCTAGGACCTTCATGGTCCCTTGCTCCAGACTCTCGTGTCTTTGAATGTACACCTTGTATACTGGGTCAACCAAATGCCCTAACAAGCCCATGAGCTCACCCTTCTGGTGTGGTCAGAGAACCTCATGGTCAGGTTCTTATTCCAGGAGGGAGGCCTGGGAAAGCAAATTTCTTACTAAGAACCTTAAGATGATGTGCAGTACTCACATTTGGAAGCACAGCATCAGCTCGCCAAGATGGTGCTGAAATACAGGTAATAAGTGGTCCTTTTAAGTCAACACAAGGCAAGTTAAAGACTCTGGACTAGCCAAACTTCATTGCCAGCCTTGGTTTTGAATCACACATTTGTTCCCACATCCTGACTCTCTGCATTCTATATTCTGACTGCAGTGCTACACTCAAGCATGTTTGACCCTGTAAATTCTTGCATCTGAAAGCTAGTTTGGTCCCCAGTCCCTTCCACTAGCTCCACACTTCACTTGAAGTGGCTGTCCCCACTCCTGCAGTCTTTGAGATCCTTGCTCTCTTTTGCCTCTGATTTATGTGTTTGTGCTCTCTGAGCGAAGCTTTAAATCTTGTAGGGGAGATACAGACATCCCTGTAAAAATGCAACTGCCTTCTTGCTCTATTTATGGCTCATCCCTCTCTCCTGTGTTAGGGGAGGATTTGGGCGAGGCAAAGGGGGGGGGCAATATAGATCTACAAATACACTGTTACAGTCTGAAGAGTTCCACACAGGGCTGGAGATATGACTTAGAAGCTAAGGCCAATGGCTGCTCTTCCAGTGGACCCAAGTTTGGTTCCTAGCACACAGGTCAGGAGTCCTACACCCACCTATGACTGTAGCTCCGAAGGATTCTATGCCCTCTTCTGGCCTCCACTGGCACCAGCATACACTTGGTATGCACACACTCAGATATACACACATACATATAAATAAATAATTATTTTTAAAGACAAAGCAAGTTCCATATGGAGGCTAGAGAATTCTAATTGGCAAGTTCAACATAAACAAAAACCAAATTATCATTCATGTTTCCTGCAGATTCTGGAAATGCCTACCTATGTAGCCATCATCACAGAGCCCAGTCGTAGCCTTACCTGTGCCTCCTTGGAACCCAGTGCTCCTGGACAGCAGACAAGGGGTGCCTCGTGAGGACCGATGTGACTGGCGGTAGGGAACTGCAGAGGTAGGAAGATCTCCACGGCTTCAGTGCAAATAAATCCTGATGCTGTGAATCAATCAGCATTGCTGAGGTTTCTCAAGATGTGAGACTTGACGACCAAGACCTGGAAGCGATGGTTCCTGGACCTAACCAGGAAGAGATGATAAAGAGGATTTATGTCCACGCATTAGATAATAAACAAACAACAAGTTCCTTTCCCCTATCTGCTTTCCAAATCTTCATTATGTCCTGCATAAGACTATGAATTTCATAGTATGTGTTTGTGAGATGGCATCTCCATGTAGCCCAAGCTAGTCTCAAACTTGCAGTTCTCCTGCCTGATGCTTTCAGTGCTGATATTACAGACAAGGTGTCACCATGCTCTGATCATAATGTTTTTCATCAAATACGTAAATATATTTTCTATAGTTCATATACTCTAAAGACAACCCTGATAATACTCAAAATAAATGCATCATATGAAAAAGAAGCCTACATGCCAGCAACCCTCAAGAGCATCCTCCCAGAATTCTTCACAAAGCGTGAGCAGGTTGGAGCCAGCAGCTCCTAAGAAGGATCATATGCTACAAAGAGTCATTCATCGCCATAGTACAAGGTTGAATAAAGTGAGTCAGTTTATCATATTAGTTTAATGAAAGAACGAAGCATATGAATCTCAACTATAGAGAAAAATCATTTGACAGATGGTAGTATCCATTTGTGTCTAGCAGATGGGTCCTCTGAACAGAGAGGTCTGATTAATATCATCCACCATCCAGAAGAGAGGACCAGTAACATCTTTCAGGACCCACCGCTGGTCCCTGGTGTCTCTAGGATTCAACCGTTTTCCTATTTGTCTCTGTAGCATGCATTTTTTTCTCCATGGAACAGTGTTTCTACATGCAGAAGTGTTAGTTTCATTCTTTGGAACTGTGCTCATGTCTGTTTAAAAGTTGTTTTTGAAATGCTACTTGCACTATCAACAAAGGAATATTTATTTTGTATATTGGGATATTCATGAATATATTTTTGAGACATGAATTCAATATGCAGAGATTATTGTTTTCTTCTTCCTGTTAGTGATTTGGGAGTAGGTACAGTGTAATAGCACAGAACATTAATCTCTTTGGGGGCCCTCTGTTGAAATGAAAAGGATGTAATAAAAATTACAAACTCAAACAAATAGGCACTGACTCTAACATTTGGTCAGCACAAATCAGTAGTTTTGAAAGCCAAGAACTACCAAAGCCATAAAAATCTAGGAGAAAAACAAATATTCTTATTCATAAGAACGAAAATCAATCTCGCCACCTCTTGTACTACTTTTTCATGTTTTTGTTTTCATATGTGACTTTCAATAGAGAAAATACAAAAGACAAGTAATTTTTCTCTAGCATAATCCAATTTTTTCCTCTGTGTTTAGCCTTAATTTTGATATGTATTCACATAGATTTTTTTTGGTTTCATACATCACTTGTATTATCTACACAACTGATAATTGTTTTATCTGTATATTTGTTTACATAATTTTAGGTATTGCTGTAGTCCACCTTATCCATAGGAGAGTAGGTTCTGAGAACTTCGGTAGATGTCCAAACTGGATGGTACATACATATACATATATGTATCACTATATATAACATTTTGTATACATATCCAACAATGAGAAAATTTCATTTATATATTAGGCCCAGTAAAAGGTGAACAGCAATAATTGGTAAAGAAGTAATTCAATTATTACAACACACTATCAAAAGTTATGTGAGTGAGGGCTCTCAGTCTTGATTGAATCTAGGGGAATACTGATATGGCCGGGCAATGGTTGGCTGCATTATAATTCAAACTAGAGTACATGAAAGTCTATTTGGGACTAGTCTCAGGATAGATTCTGAATTGTTGGGGGGTTGTACACAATTCATTTCCTTAGACGGGGCTTTCTTCTTTCTTTTGTCTTCTCCCATTCTCCACAGGGATCCCCTTCAATCCTCTCAAAAAAATTCCAGCATGCCAGTCTCCGAACTCACTATGTTTGCCCTTTTATCACCCTTCATCCTCTGCTTTTTGGTTCTGTCTACAACACCACTTCCAGAGAAATTTTTAGTTATCCTCCTTTGAGAGAGTGAGGTTCCCAGGAGGCACTGGGAGTTGTGGGTGTTCCCTGCTGCTGAGAACCTTGACCTCTTTCTTGTAGATAAATGACAGGCAAGAGTGCCAATGACAAGGATGTGGGTGTGCAGACAGGGTGGTCTTGGGATTCCGCCAGGCCTCTAACCAGCCTTGCCGACATCCTATCATGCTGCCTGCCATGTGAGAATTGAAGTGGAAATGATTTTTACTGCTGCACACATCACTGCTAAATTTCCCGAGGACTGTTAGGGAATAAGCCCATTAACTGTTACTGGAGACCTCAGAGCTCCTCAGCATCCTCCAGAGTTCCCTCCCTTCTCTCCCTGTCACAGCCAGGATCTTCTGAGATTGTGAGAAGGGACAGTCACAGTTAAGTGCAGGAACAAGAAAAGGCTGAAATGCCAGAAAATGAACAAACAAACAAACAAAAACATTCATTCATGAATGCTTAAGCTCGCCTTGATAAGCCTGACAGGAAACTACTATGTCTGAAAGCAAATGAAAACCACCAAAGTTCAGAGAGAGCGGGGG